GGCGTTCATTGCCTTGTTCCCTGGCTCATCCACGCCAAAGGTCACACAGAACACTAAGCAAATTAGGGAAAGGAAACCAAGCTAGATGACCTCTCAGTTTTGTGGACGCACGCAAGTACTTTAAGAATGTTTCAAAAGTGTACTTTTATGGACGATTCGATACAAAAAAGACTGCTTAGTGCTGGAACTGAACTACAAATTCAAGTCCAAATCTTGAACAAACAAGGTAAATATACAATTTTATATATGTCACGATATATATATTTTTTAGGTTTAATAACTGAAGCTGAAATGTTAAATTTTAACCAACATTTAGGTTGCAGTAAAACTATCTGCATATGCTATTAGTTACCTCTCTCACTTCCCCTTAAAAAATGTCCATGATGGACCTAGAGGACATCAGTAATACATGTACAATACAAATACAATACTATAGTAAGTAACCTTTTTGATTATCTTATGTAGATCCATATCACGAATAAGCATTATTCTCAGAAACATGTATAAATGTATGTGTGTATATGAGTGTGTATTGGGGGGGGGGGGGGATCTTTAGATGAATGCAATTTCCATGCAATATAAACAGAAAGACTGTTTTACAAAAATTCGGAGCAGGCACCTGCTGATCTACTCTAGTGCGCAATATAAAACCAGTCATATCTGTCATGAAATCATATATAAATGCCTAAGGCTTTGGAAAATTGAAGTTTATGAGACTTAAAATTTTCATCCATAGGTCGACTATGGATTGGTTCAGAATAGGATTGCCAGATTTCCTTTGGAAAATGCACTCTACAATCTGTCTAGTGTATCAGCCAAGAGAAAAGCATAGTATTGGAACTTCGGTCAAAGATATTAAAGGAGGACGATGTTTAAATAAAGAAAGTGTAACGGGGCACAAAGAAATCTTATACCTTTAACAGAGAAAGAAAGATGTCAGAGGTTTTTTTTACGTTTTTGTATGTTTTTCTATGTTTAGAAGGTTTAATATTATGTTAACTTTAATATTTAGCTTTTCCAGCTTGCATGCTATTAAGATAAAAGTATCGTTTGTGATATAAAAATAATATATTTTTAATATTCTTTAATATGAAATTTTTTGTCATCAAGATGTAATGTATGCTTTTCTGTAAACAATATATACAGAATTAGTTTATTTTATGAGAGGAAATTTACCTTGAAAAGTTCTGTTTTTTTTTTCAAAAAGCAATATTTGATTTATTCTGTGAATTATATAAACTGCATAATTGACATTCTTTTTTTTTTTTTTGGAGGGGGGGGGGGGGTTATCCCGTAAAGTCTTGCTATCATCGAGTTGCAGTGTTTGGTCATGCTTTGAATAATATAAACTGTATTATTGATACTCTTTGGGAGGGAAGGATTTAACCCGTACATACTTGCTATTTTCAAAGTTTAATGTTTGTTTTTTCTAAGTATGATGTACATCTAAACTGTATCAGTAATATTCTTAAAGGAAATTTACCACGTAAAGTTTTACTACCTCCAATATATTGCAAAGCATAAATTCTGTATCAGTGATTTTCTTTGGGGGAAATTTCCCCGTAAAGTCTTGCTATCTTAAAGATGAGTGTTTTTGCTTTGAAATACTGTATATAAACTTATCAATGTCATTTTTAAGAGGAAAATTACCTTATAGATTGTTGCCATCTTAAAAATGTTTGCGAATCAAAAATACTGTTTCAGTGATTTTCTTTGGGGGGAAATTTACCCCGTAAAGTCTTGCTATCATCAAGATGGTTGCCTTTGCTTTCAACACTGTATATAAACTGAATCAATGTCATTTTTGAGAGGAAATTTACCCTGTAGAGTTCTGCGATTTTCAAAGTGTAATGTTCGCTTTTTACAAGAGTAGTGAATACTGTATCAGTGATACCTTCTTTGGGGGGAAATTTACCCCGTAAAGTCTTACTATCTAAAACATTGGTGCTTTTGCTTTGAATTAATATATGGAAGATGTATCGATGTTATTTTTGGGAGGCAGTTTACCCTGAATATGTTTGCTATCTTTAAGATGTTGTGAATCATAAAAACTATATCAGTTATTTTCTTTGGGGGGAAATTTACCCCGTAAAGTCTTGCTATCTAAACGATAGGTGTTTGTGTTTTTGCTTTTAATTATTGTATATAAACTGTATCAATATCATCTCTGAGAGGAAATTTACCCTGTAGAGTTCTGCGATTTTCAAAGTGTAATGTTCGCTTTTTATAAGATAAACTGTATCAATAATTATTTTAAGAGGAAATTTACCCTGTAGATTTTTGCTACCGCCAAGATATTGTGAAGCATAAATTCTGTATGAGTGATATTCTTTTGGGGGAAATTTACCCCGTAAAGTTTTGCTATCTAAAATATGGTTGTTTTTGCTTTGAAATACCGTGTATAAACTGTATCAATATTATTTTTGAGAGAAAAATTACTCTATAGATTGTTGCCATCTTCACGATGTTTGCGAATCATTAATACTGTATTAGAGATTTTCTTTGGGGGGAAATTTACCCCGTCAAGTCTTGCTATCATCAAGATGGTTGCATTTGCTTTCAAACAATGTATATAAACTAAATCAATGTCATTTTTGAGAGGAAATGTATCCTGTAGAGTTCTGCAATTTTCAAAGTGTAATGTTCGCTTTTATAAGAGTAATGAATACTGTGTCAGCTAATGATATTTTTTGGAGGGGAAATTTACCCCGTAAAATCTTGCTTTCTACAAGATTGGTGTTTTGCTTAGAAATACTGTGTATAAACTGTATCAATAATATTTTTGAGAGAAAAATTACTCTGTAGATTGTTGCCATCTTCACGATGTTTGCGAATCATAAATACTGTATTAGAGATTTTCTTTGGGGGGAAATTTACCCCGTAAAAGTCTTGCTATCATCAAGATGGTTGCATTTGCTTTCAAACACTGTACATAAACTGAATCAATGTCATATTTTTGAGAGGAAATTTACCCTGTAGAGTTCTGCTATTTTAAAAGTGTAATGTTCGCTTTTTATAAGAGTAGTGAAAACTGTATCAGTGATATTCTTTGGGGGGAAATTTACCCCGTAAAGTCTTGTTATCTAAAAGATTGTTGCTTTTGTTTTGAATTACTTTAGGTACTGTTTCAATGTAATTTTTGAGAGGAAATTTACCCTGTATGTTTTTGCTATCTTTAAGATGTGAATCAGTGATTTTCTTTCGGGGGAAATTTACCCCGTAAAGTCTTGCTAAATTGTCAATAGTTCCTCCAAATATTTAAATTTCAGTTTATTTGTGACACTAGATCGTGTATCCGTTAGAAAAATGCTGATTTTTCATAATCTTATGAATAAATATCTTATAAAACTGTTTTTTTTTTGTTAGATTTTGTCAATACCTGAGGGCAAAATGCCTAAAACAGAAAAAAAAAAATTTTCTGTTTTGATTTTGGAATGCGTTTAGTCCGTTGTTTGTTGTAGTCGTTTTTGTTGTTGTCATTTTTATTAATTCCAGTGAAGTGTACCTTTTTGCATTACGACACAACCTATGAGGACAGCTGCACTCAAGGTAAATAGTAGTCTCTCCTTATCCCTGATTGGTTGCTTGTGCAACAGGCTATTTCCGTGTCAATGTTGACAAAATGATTTGACCAATCACACAGGTCTTATACCGGGGGCGTGAATTGTTTACGCTGGGCGCATCTGTCGAGATAGATTGTCACGTAATGCCAAATGGCACACTTCACTGAAATTGATAATAACTTTTTTACAATTGCATCCTCTTCTCCAGAAACACTGGGCCACTTTCAACGAGTTTGTTTTGGTAAAGGGGATTCAAATTTGTTCAAATAAAGGGCCACACCCTCTTCCAAGGAGAGGTAATGAAGAAATAGTAAAAAGTTAGGGTCATTTAAAAATCTTTAAAAATCTTCTTCTCAATAACTATTTGGGCCAGAAAAGAAGAATTTTTTTTTTCAAGTCATGACCTCCAGAGGTAGGTCAGGGCCACTTTGGGCAAACAAAGTTTTACATTGGTATATATAGGAAAAATCTTTTCAAATCTTCTTAAAAACAGCATAGTCATGATCAATCATATTTAAAAAGAAACATTCTCAGGTAGTGTAGATTTTAAATTTATTACATTCATGACCCCCAGGGGAAGGGTGGGGCCAAAATTGGCAATCAAAGTATTGCATAGGAAAACAAAGGAAATATTTTTAAAAAGCCTTTTCCAAGGAACAGCATAGTCATGATTAGTCATAATATTTAGGCATCCTCATGTAGTGTAGATTCAAGTTTGTTCAAATCATGACCTTGGGCATAGGGTGGGGCCATAATGGACATATAAGAAAAAATGCTTGTAAATCTCTTCAAGAACAGGAAAACCATGATAGTCATATTTATATGGAAGCATTCACAGATAGTGTAGATTGAAGTTTGTTCACATCATAAACCCCGGGGATAGGGTGGGGCTACAACTTGCAATTTATATTGGAATGTATCACACATTTGAAAGATGAATCTGCTGATTAAGAACAGGAAGAGCTCAGATGAGCCCATGGGCCTCTTGTTTATTGTGGGGACACGAGCATATTTATACACAATATAGCAGCTTTGTTTTCTATAATATTCTATATCATTATGTCCGCAAAAAAAAAAAAAATTGTTGGGGGGACACAGGCCCCTCCCCCCTTTCTTATGCCCATGTTCATCACTATTATGTATTGAGAGCTAGATCCCATATTTTAAGATAAGGTATTACTTAGACATATTTTTTTTTTTTTTTTTTTTTTTGATTTATGTTAACATTTACATATTAACATTCTCTACAGCTTGGTTACATTCTGAGGATCAGATAGTGAAGCAGTGGCTATGTAAAGGTCAAATAATTATTTGAAATCATTGTCATATGTTGATCAGCTTTTGTCAATATTGAGTGTATTATGTCCAGAATTACATGTTGGTATTTTTCATTTTTATTGTTCAGATATGCCACTTAAAAGCAAAGATGCCACTTAGAAGTAAAAAAATATTCACAAAAAATTAAAGTAATTAAATACAAGGAAGAGGGAAAAGAAATTGAATTTGTGAAGTCTGAGCCAAAATGTTCAGGTTCCAAGAAACCAAAGAAAATTGCCACAGAGGAACTGTTGGATCAGCCATCAACTTCAGTTGTTCAGGAAGGTAATTGTATGAATTAATTTTACATGCATCCTCATAGCAATAAGGACTTTAAATATAACCACCACATTTCTTTTTTACTTCCAGAACGAGAATAAAGTTTTTCATGGTAATACATGTATATAATGATTATGAACTGTCTAAATTCCTCTATAAAAATCAAGACCAATGTTTTTCATGTTGATACTGAAGCATCCCCATCTTATGTGGATTCAGACCACTTAAGCCAAGACCTCTTGGGTGAAGGGTGGGTCAACAATATGAGGTCAAAATTTTTCATGGGAATAAAGTGGGAAAAAATTGTGAAACCTTTCCTGACAAACATCAGGACCAAGGTGTCAGACTCGATTGAGATTTAGGGATTACAGTTCTCTGGTTTACTTTAAATCTGTTGCTCATTGTCTATCATGGGTCCTCCAAGACCGTCTAATCTCTTAGTAAAAAAATAACAAGAAAGGAAAAGCAACAAAGTTATCAGAGATAAGCATGTGAACCAATTTGTTATGTATTACAAACTTTAGAATATTTTATTAATTTTATTTTGAAAAATAGATGTAAGGACTTATGTATCCAGAAAAACTAAAGAACGAGAAGGATGGGAAACAGTACAGCCTTCAATGCTAAGGGCTAGAATTGAGGAAATGTGCCCATCAACATGGGAATGTTGTTTTTGTGGCAAGGAGACGATGCATATTATCTACTGTCCAGACTGTGGTCCAACAGCATACTACTGTGAAACATGCTGCACAAAACTCCACAGTGTAGTGCTTTTTCACAAGCCATGTGTTTGGAAAGTAAATAATAATCAGCTGGTCATCTTTAAAAAGAATTGTTTGTTTGCCCTCTTCCGACCGACTGACTAAAAACAGCCTGATTCAAAAATTTTTTGACCTCCAGGAAACAATTTTTTTTTTAATTATTAATAACTATTTTAACTTCACATTTGCAGGTGTTTTTGACTAAAAGAATATTTGCCCCTACCTACCTACACAATTTTTTTATCCTCTTTTGGGAGAGGGCAAAAAAAACAAATTTTTGGCCTTATTTACTTTTTTTTTTAATTTTTTTTTTCACAATTATATGAACTTCCTTAAAATGAACTTTAATTTAATACAAAAAATTACAAAATTAAAGTTTATAAATATCCCTTCTGGTTTATATGCATTTTTTAAATTTCCTTTGTCTTTTTAAGAATGATATGTATGTCCCATATGAGAATTCATCTGAAACATGCATTGGAAGGGAAGATCATTAGGAATGTCCCACCACCTACACCAAAATCCTTGCTGTGATAAGCCTATCAGGTAACCACATTTCTAATTGTTAGCTCACCTGAGCTGAAAGCTCAAGTGAGCTTTTCTGATCACCCGTTGTCCGTCCGGCTGTAAACTTTTCACATTTTCAACTTCTTCTGAAGAACCACTGGGCCAGTTTTAACCAAAATTATTACAAAACATCCTTGGGCGAAGGGAAGTTTAAATTGTTAAAATAAAGGGCCAAGCCCCCTAACAAGGTGAGATAATCAAGAAAAAACAAAAATAGGGTGGGGTCATAAAAAAATCTTCTTAAGAACCACTGGGCCAGAAAAGCTGAAACTTAAGTGGCAGCATCCTGGGGTTGTGTAGATTCTAAATTATTCAAATCATGACCCCTTGGGGTAGGGCGGGGCCACAAGAGGTATTAAAAGGGGGGAAATCAGGTGAATAACATCAGGGAAAAAAACTACTCAGGTGAGCGCTGTGGCCCATGGGCCTCTTGTTGTAGTTTATAATCTATGTCTCCAAATGTTTTTTTTAAATTTTTTTCTTATTTTTTGCAGTTGAATGTAAGAAAGACTGAAAAAGCATATTTTTTTGTTTTTAAATGCCCACTTCAGATTAAGGGGAAGTACTTTTGTCAAGTAAAAAAAAAAAGAAAAAAAAGAAACGCACACACCTCAAATGTGTTAAATTAACATTCACGATTGTGAGATGTTAAAATTTTGTACAAAATTGAATCGTTTCCTGAGTAAATGAGAATTGGTTTTAGAGAGCTAATTGTCCCTTCTTTAAGCTGTTTATACCCCCCCCCCCTTTCAAATAAAGGTGGGTGGGTGGGGATATAGTAATCACCTTGGCCATCTGTCTGTCTATGCAATCTTTTCCAAGCTGTACTTTGTAATGTAGATTCACTGAAACCTTATACATGGTACAAAGATTTTTTTTATGCCTGCAGGTGTGTCTTGATCTTGCTCCAAGTTCATTCTGGCAAGTTCAAGGTCACTGGCAGAATAATTGTAAAATTTATGATTTGTGTATTTTCTAACGGAAAAAAATTGGATGTCCATCTTTCACTCAACGAATACTTGAAACCTAAAATCATGTCCTTTTTTCTTTTTTTAATCAAGGACAATTTGGCAAGATCAAGGACACACTTGCAAAAATTGATTACAAATAGGCATTTTAAAAATATTGCACCAGGGGGCATTACTTTGTGAACTTGCTAACATTACCTGTAGTTCATTACAGTGAATGATGGTTAGTTCCAGACCCTAACAAAAAATTAAATTTTGATCAAGTCATGACTCTTTGGGATAGGACAGGCATAGAATAGTTTGTACAAATATTTGCATATAAATAAAGCTTAAATCTTTTAGCAAGTTAAGTGTATTCTGTCTCAAATGAAATTTATAAGTGTTATTGTATGTTAGCATCCCCATCTACTGCAGATTAAAGTTTATTTGATATGTCTTGACCCTCAGAGCTAGGAAAGGGCCACAAAAGAAGGGTTCAAAATTTAAATCAAAGATCTTATATGAAACATATTATGTACCAATGTTTTAAAAGTAAAAGTCATCAAGATTAAGAAATTTGAAAAACATGCAGACACAAATGGTAGTATTTTAGGTTTTTGAGCCTCCATATGTATATAGTTTATTTGTTATAATGAATTTCACTCTCATTAACAGTTTTCCTTGGCAAATTTGTAAACAATATGAAATTATTCAAGCATTTATTAAAAAAAAAAGAATAACCCTGAAAATAACATTTATATCGGTTCTAATTGAATTTCAGGACATCAGCATAAGATAAATATGCAATTTTGCAAGTGTGAGAAGGAGTCTATCACTTTAGTCAGGTGCAGACTTTGGCCATCTTCTCCTGAAACTCCCCGTGTTGCATTTGATTTTAAATTGATGGAATTGGCTGTGGTCCTTCAGCTTGAGGGGCATTTATCTTTAAAATCCTTCTGTGATGCCATCATTCAATCTCAAAATGGATTTCCTGTTATGGTGCGACCTGATGAGGTAATTGTTATTGTTATATATAAATATCTCTCTCTCTCTCTCTCTCTCTCTCTCTCTCTCTCTCTCTATATATATATATATATATATATACATATATATATATATATATATATTAACTTTACCTCAACTGCTTTATAGAAGATCCTATTTGAGAGAGGACTGATAGGAGATGCATTGTAGTAATGATTATGTTGCTCAGTTGTCTTCTTTGTATCATTATTTATTGCAATATTGATAAAAGAGGGAAGTGGAATTTGTTTAAAAAAAGAAAAGAAAAGAAATAATTACTGGTATAACACTTGAAAGAGCTTTTTATGCCAGCATCAGTGTGGGCTTAGGGAAGTTTTTGAGAGGAGTAAAAGTTTCAGACAACCAATCGGATCTATATCTTAATTCACATCTTTATCTTATTCAATGGACATGTCACAATGAGATGCATGCACTGCCTTGTTGAGTTTAAAATCTTCATTAAAGGTAAAGGTCACAGTAGGCAATTCAAATTAGACTGAAGAATATACTTTTGAGTCGTATTTAATCAAAGAAACTTGACCTGAAGGGAATCGTTCAATTCATATAAATTTTATTTTAGCATGATGATTAAAATCTGAAATAATATTTATATCAAGATAGAGAAACTGAATGACATCTGAGTAAATTGACATTTAAATACAACAAAATATAATTGGAATACAATTAAATTGTATACTGTTAAATCACTAATTTTCATGGGATAAAATTTTATGGTTAGGTCATTACTTGTTCAAAGAGATTTTATTTTGTGATTAAAGAGGAAACATTATTTTAATGCTGCAATATTGAAATTCAATATTTTTTTGGGGGGAGGGGGGTGTACATTTATGAATTCCTGAGTCTCTTCATGTCATGAAAACTATAATAAATAAATCCCTGTGAAATTAATCAATTTTACATTATATATGGATGTGCTATATATCTTTGCCTTTGTAGTACAGTAAAACATGCTTATAACGAAGTGCCAGGGACAGGTGATTTTGCTTCGCTATAAGCCTAATTCGTTTTATCTGTTAAGTTTACAATATATTTTAAAGTCTGATGGGAAATGAAAATCACTTTGCTATAAGTTTCAATTCATTATAAGCGTGTTTACTATAAGCGTGTTTTACTGTAGTTTATCAAGCAGCAGTTTATTGAAGAACAGTATTTTCTGAATTCAGCATCAATAAAACCAGTTATCTTTTGAAATGTATATTTTTATTGCAAAAAGCTTAAATATTTTGTTTCTGTACCTACAGGTGAAAGATATATACAGAAGTCTTGTTGGGGATTCTTTCAATGAATATCGTTTCCATAGATCTCAGTTTAACAATAGAGAGATGTATGAAGAGAACCATATTGAAAGTACCAATGAATGCCCTATCTGTAGTGAGGTATGTGTGTAAAAATGATAAAAGTGAATCTTGATACCTGTTACTTCTTTTCCAATATCAGATTGAGCCTTTTTTTTTTTTTAGGTCACCTGAGTCACTCAGGTGACCTATTGCTATCTGTTTTCGTCCGTCGTCCGTCGTGCGTCGTGTGTTAACATTTGAACATTTTCAGCTTCTTCTCTGAAACCTCTGAACCAATTTCAACCAATTTTAGCATATGGCATCTATGTGTGAAGGGGAACAAAATTTGTGAATATCATGGTCCCTGCCCCCCTGGGGCCTGAGGGGTGGGTCTAAAACCACCAAAATTAATGCAATCTTTAAAAATCTTCTTCTTTACTCCTGGACATCAAGCAGTCAAACTGTTTGCATGATTGTAATAAGCATTGAGCCCTCTACCAAAATTGTGAAATTCATGGCCCCAGGGTCAGGGGTTCTGGTGCTAGGGAGGGACTGTATAGATCATATAGTGAAAGTGCATTATTTCTTTGAAAATCTTCTTCTCTACTCCTGGGTATTATTGAAACAAATTAAATACATAATTATGTTAAGCAAGAGTGACTCTACCAAAATTGTGAAATTCATAGCCCCAGGGTCAGGGGTTCTGGTGCTAGGGGGAGGGGGGGGGGGAGCTATATAGATCATATAGTGAAAGTGCATTATTTCTTTGAAAATCTTCTTCTTTACTCCTTGGTATTATTGGAACAAATTGAATACATAGTTATGATAAGCAAGGGTGACTCTACCAAAATTGTGAAATTCATGGCCCCAGGGTCAGGGGTTCTGGTGCTAGGGTGGGGTTATATAGATCATATAGTGAACGTGCATTATTTCTTTGAAAATCTTCTTCTCTACTCCTGGGTATTATTGAAACAAATTAAATACATAGTTATGTTAAGCAAGAGCTACTCTACCAAAATTGTGAAATTCATAGCCCCAGGGTCAGGGGTTCTGTTGCTAGGTGGGGAGGGGGGGGGTGCTATATAGATCATATAGTGAAAGTGCATTATTTCTTTGAAAATCTTCTTCTCTACTCCTTGGTATTATTTAAACAAATTAAATACATAATTATGTTAAGCAAGAGTGACTCTACCGAAATTGTGAAATTCATGGCCCCAGGGTAAGGGTTTCTGGTGCTGGGGGGGGGGGGGGGGGCTATATAGATCATATA